ACTCGTGTATCTTCTTAAACCGTTGAAGTTTTTTTTATCTTTTTCAATTTCTTTTTGATAGATAAAAACTAAGCTAATTTACAGGGGCCAGTGTGTCACACATATTAACATGTTTGAGGCTGTTAAAAAAGGGAAAAAAGGGGAAAAAGCATTTTAAAAAATCTCTAGATATTCATTAAAACTTGCGAAAAAAATCCCAACAAAAAGATTCCTTACGTACTTAAGCTGTAAAAACAAATATTCTCTTCTTTACCGCAGTTAAAACTCCGTTAAACCACACAACGTTTGCTTGTATTAGTGAAAAGGAAAAAAATACAAAATTGGTTCAATGAACGTCAACTAATGAAAAGAGAACGTTGTTTTGTGAATGTTTAAAAAAGCGTCGTTTTGTGAAACGCTTACATAGCATGTTGACCAAGCGTTTTCAAGTTAATTAGCGTCTGGCATCTTCTTTAATGGTCTCTGAAACATTTTAGAGTCTTGGGCGTTTGGAATAACGTTGTCTCCTTTGTCACGCCGTTTTTCGTCCGTTGTCGCCGTCGGTTTGGCTCTTTCTAGAGATTTTAACATATGAACTTTACTACAGATCTCTCTCTAGTATGTAAAAACAAAAACAAAAAACTTTACTACAGATCTGTGTTTTTTTTTTTGTATCCAATAAACTTATGGGGTTTAGGTGATGAGATAGAAAAAATCAGAGAAAAATACTTTGTTTTTTTTTTTTTAATAAACATCGCCGTTTGCTGAGGGTTTTGTGAAGGAGAAGGGGAAGGGGAAGACCGTTACGGTTACACGTGGTGGTGATATTTGATTTCCTTCCTTTATGTTTTTATTTAATTTCTATATTATCTTCTTTTCACCTTTTAAATTTATATACTTATTTTCAATGTTATTTATTTAAATGTTTCGTTTTATTATTTTATCTTGATTTTTTCTACTAATTTCTATATAATATTTTACTTGTATCGTTAAAAACGAATTCTATAATGAACTGCTATGGATTATCTCACAGTAGGTAATATTTGACGGATCCACATGCGTAAATCACTTTTTCCCCAATTAACCATATTGTAGTATCAAGGACTTGAGTTCAAGACGCTACAATATCGTTGTAGTGATATGTTAAAAATTCAAAGCTAATACAAAAATTGTTTGGCGAATTGATTGAGATGTAGTTTCCAAATTGCTAGTACTGTGAATTTTAATATACCAAATCGAGTTGATACGTAATAAAAACCATTCTTATTAGTAGGATGTGTTTAAAATAGACAGAGAAAAAAACAACCTTATCGTTTAAAATATCAAATAGACGATGAAAGTCTTTTGGTATCAACCTCTGGTATCCATATTGTAACATTAAATTACGAGTCTTATCAAATAGTATGACGTAAGTTTGAAAAGAGTAGTCTTGTGGAAATTACAAAAAAAAAAAAAATCAACAAGTATTTTAGTGGAAACGTATACCTCTATTAGTGATGAAAGGATTCAGTTAGTAGCAAAATGTTTCACTATAGTAAAATGTAAACATTAATAACAATTTGTCATATTTTTGTATGTTAATTAAGATTGATCTCAAACTCCACTTAAAAGTTATAGTAAACTAAAGAAAGTAAGGGTGGGCAAATC